GGTGGATGGGTGGAGCTGAAGAGAACATAGTAGCCTTGACGTGGCTTTGATATGATTTACCCCTGTCTTTGCAGTTCTGCCTTGGTGACCCTGGGTTGCTGCTCACCCCCAAAAGGGCCCAGAAGTTACGTACGTAGGACCCGGGCACCGTGCCTCAGGGCCTGTACCCTGCCAGGCTCGATGGACATGCTGAATGTGGTTTGCTGGCCCCCGACGGTGCAGACCTGGCCCTGCTCAGCCGCCTGGCGCACCATGACAGTCAGCTTGTTGGCGATGATGGTGTTCAGGATCGAGATGACCACCATGGGGAACACGAAGGAGACGAAGGTGTTGACCTGCAGGAGGAAGGGTGGCTGTCAGATCTCCTGCTGTGCCAGTCTGGGCTCTTACAAGAGAGAGGTTGCTCTCCCGATCGGTCCTGGGCACCTGGCATGCTGGCCGAGGCTCAGGGTCTGAGTGTGGGGTGCTCGGTCAATGTGAGCCTGCAGGTTCTTTCGACCCAGACTGCCTGCTGCTGTCCCCAAAAGACAAGCTCCACCTGCCCCACCCCTGGCCAGAAGTTGCCAGACTTGTGCCACCTTGGGGAGCTGCACAGGGCCTCCCTGCATATGGTGTGGAGCATAGGGTGGAACCCAAACGAGGAGGTGTCCTGGCCACGGGGAGGGCTCAGCACACCCACGATGCTGCCCCCTTCCACTCTCAAACGGGACAGCTGAGCCCAGGACCTTTCGTCCCGCATGCCCGGGGTTCAACTGTCAACCCTAAAGGCAGAGCCTGCGTCCTGCTCCACCCCAACTGGCTCTCTGGGCACAGAGAAGTGGGGCCTCTTATCAGCACCTGGGGCTGCCCCCTCGCCAACCATGACGCTCACCTGCTTCAGGGAAACTGAGTCTCAGGGAGCCTGAGGGTCTTGCACAAAGTCACTCGGCTAGTCAGTGGCTGGACCTGGCCTTGCTCCCTGGCCTGTTTGAGTCTAAGCCCAGCTTCTCGAATGCACCAGTCTGAGAATCGCCTTTGCAGGCACCCACTTAACCAGGGCAGCTGAGGCCTTGTTGGGGACAGGAGCGAGGCCTTCTCACTAGAGGGGTGAGCAATGGGTGGCTGTCTCCAGCAGGGAGAAGCATTGAGCCCTGGGCGGAGGGAGAGCCGGCCTCCAGCCCAGGCAGTGGTAATAGCCAAGGGACTCACAACCTGGAGCACCTCTCCTAAACACCTTGTCTTTCCTACAATGTTTTGACATCCCGGCTTCTCCGCACTTACAGTGTGCAATCCGGAGATCAGGGAGGCTGCTGTCTCCGCGGCTGCCAAGCTGCTTTGGAGGCTCATTTGGAATCTCAGAGACAAAGAGGCTTTTGGTTGTTTGGGGAAGCTGTCCGTGCCAGCTCGCTGGCGGCAGCGCTTTTAATTAGTAGGCTCTTCTGGGGGACCTGCACTTGGTGCTCCCTGTTGCCCTGACATCTCCACACCCCATGTCTGCCCTGGGCTGCTAGCAGAGCTGGGGTCCCATGGGTGAGGTTATCACAGCAGTGACGGAACTTCCAGGGGACTTGCCCTTGGGGCTCCCTGGGCTAGGCCTCAGGCTATCGCCCCGATATCTCTGCACCCCAGGTCTGCTCCGGGCCACAAGTAGAGCTGGGGGTCCTTTGGGTGACGGTCACGACCCAGTGCCAGCCCAGCAGACACACAGCAGCGCCACACGCTGGGCCCTGTGTCTCTCCATACCTCCATCTGCAGCCACCCCTGAACCAGCCATGCTAGTGCTCTCCTTTGACAGATAGGGAAACTGAGGGACAGAGAGACAGCCCCCCCCCCCCCGTAACCTGTCCGAGCCCACGTTCAGGTGCAGGGCACAGACACCCAGCCCTCATTCACACGAGGGCCAAGTCCTTCATGGCTCACACCATGGCAAGGCGGGGACTCCTTGGACTGTAGGCAGTGGCCACAGTGACCCAGGCCAGCCACTGACCAGTGCCACAGGGTTCTGTGGCCAGAGGTTTCTGGAGCTGGGAGGGTTGGTGGGTTCACTCTCTGGTGTCCATCTGTCTGTCTAAGCATGCCTGCCTGCTCTTGGGCACTGGCCGCAGGCTTGGCTCAGGAGGACTTGGTGGCCTTTGGGGAGGCAGTAGCCTGTGCTCACCTCCAGGGCCCATTAAAACTTCACTAAATAGACATGAAAGAACTCGGGTGGCACAGTGGTTAAGGCATCTGGCTGCTAACCGGAAGGGCAGCACTTTGAATCCACTGGCCCCTCAGTAGGAGACACATGGCGCAGTCTGCTTCCATAATCATTAACAGCCCTGGAAACCGTCTGGGGGATTCCACTCTGTCCTCTAGGGGCACTATGGGTCGGAATCGACTCCAGGGCAGTGAGTGTGGTTTGGGCTTTGCTTCTGTGAAGACTGACAGCCTTGGAGACCCTGTGGGCAGTTCCTCTGTGTCCTCTAGGGGTGCTGTGAGTCAGAATCGACTCCATGGCAGTGGGTTTAGTGGGTTAAACTGACCTGGGGACAAACTCATGGAGAGGGGCTGTTCCGACCCTTTGGGGTTCCCTCCAGCCCGACCTGGGGCGCAGTGCTGTCTGGCCTCTGTGCGGCTCAGGGTCTGGGGGCCTGGCCCGCCTTCTGCCCCTCCTGCCTACTTTCTGTGTCTGGGGTCTGCCTGAAGCAGGACAGAGTGCCGGAGTGGCCGGGCCAGGCCAAGAATCCCTCCTCACTCCCAGGAAGGTCTTGAGGTCCCAGGGCCACCAGGCCCTGCCTCAGGAGACAAAACCATTTCCCGTGAGTCACTGCAGACGGTGGAATTTAAACAGAGTGAATGTATCCAACACAGATTTTAAATGTCAAAACATTTAAAACACCACACCTCTTAGAAGCCCAGGAGAAGGAAAAACTACCTCTGGGTGCCGGGTGGGGGTGGCGGGGGGCTGTGGAGTCTGGCCTAAGGCCTCCCCACAGGCCCAGCCTTCTGAGCCCCAGGCTGGATTCTGGGGGAAGGGGTGAGGCGGCTGGCCGGCCAGGGCCCCAACCAGCCAGGCCAGAGCTGCCCTGGGCAGGAGCTCGGAGCCAGCTCCACTTGGCAGATGCATCTGGACGTGAAGGAAATCGGATCACCTCCCTGCTCATCCTCCATCAGCTCCCACCGTGCTCAGAGTACACCCAAGCCGCACCTGGGCTCGGGGCTCGCTGCGCTTGGCCACGCCGGCCCACGCTGACCTCAGACCTGGGGGGCCTCTTCCCGTGCTGGGCCGCTGCTCCTGTGCCCTCCCCCGGGGTCCTCCCCACACGGACTGTCACCTCCTGAGGGGTCGCAGCCACTCTGCAGCTCTGTCAGCTCATACTTGCGGGGGACTGGTTCTTGTTCACTGCCCCCTCAGGTGCTCAGCTGCCAGCGGCAGGTCCAGGTCCACCCTGGTGACTGCAGTGTCCCGGGTGCCCACCCAGCAACTGCCCAGGAGAAGGGCCTGGTGAGCTGGCCCTGCAAAGATGACAACCTCAGAAGGTTGTGGGCAGTTCTGCTGTCACACGGGGGTGTGGGTCACAACCGACTCGGACGCTGCTTCCTTCTCCCTCGCAGAGAACATGCTTAACAGCACCCAGCCACTGCCATCCACTTGAGTCCAACTCACAGCACCCTGTGAAGCAGAACGGCTCCGTGGGCATTCCAGGGCTGTGAGTCTTTACGTCAACACAGTCACATCTCCGTCCTGTGCAGAGACTGGTGCATTCCAACCACTGATCTGTTAGCAGCTGAGTGTTTTCACCACTGCACCATCAGGGCTCCTCAACTGTTGTTGTTCTTGTTGTTACGTGCTGTCTAGTCAGACCCAACTCATATGGACCCCTCCTTGGGTTTCCAAGGCAGTATCACTACGGAAGTAGATTGCCCCATCTTCCTTCTGAGGAGTGGCTGGTGGGTTTGAACCGCCAGCCTTCTGGTTAGCAGTCCAGTGCCTTTAGGCACTACACTACCAGAGCTCCTGAACTGCAGCCAAGATTAATTTTGGGGGGCAGCCAGAAGGCAGAGGAAGGAAGTTGTAGGGGCAGGACTCTGCCTGGGAAGCTGGGAGCAGAAGCTCTGGGCTGCAGCTGGAGACAGGACGGAGGTGTACCCGGCACCGGTGGTTGTAGTGGGGGAGGTCGGTTGAGTGCAACGACGAAGAAGGGAGTATGAGGTCGGAGCAGCTGTGAAGGGGGAGAGAAGGGAAGAGTCTGGGTCAAGGGGCTGCCCAGAGGGGAGCTGCGCAGGTGATGGAGTGAGCACCTAGGGGCCCCAGAGGAGGGGGCCATCCAAGCTGGGGGCATCTCCATCCCCCATGAGGCCTGGGGCTTCTAGCTGGGAAGGGCAGAGGGCGGGGGGAGGCGGGATGGGATGCCAGCAGGGGTCCCAGGAACCTGGCTGGCCCCACATGGGAGCAGACGGCCTGTCCTCCGCTCCTGGACCTCCAGCTGGCTCCCACAGGAGCACTGACGTTCCCCTCTCTGTAAATGCTCAGAGCCCCCATTCCATTGTCTTTGGAAAAATCACTTATCTTGTAAAAAGAAACCCAAAAGTCAAACCCAGGGCTGTTGACTTGATTCAGACTCACAGTGACTCTACAGGACAGGGGAGACCAGCACCCCCATGTCGATCTTTCCAAATCAGACCGCCACGTCTTTCTCCTGCGGAGCAGCTGGTGGGTTTGAACCGCCAACCTTTCGGGTAGCAGCCAAACGCTTTAACCACTGTGCCACCGGGGCGCCACTTGTTTTGTACACTCACTCCCATTGTGTTTAGGTAAAGAGACAGCCCCCGGACTTGACTTGCATGTCTTCACAGCTCAGCAGCTGGGCTGCCTGAGTGGGAAGGTGTGAAACACTGAGCAGGGTGTTTGCAAAACCAAGGGCTCCTCACAGCAGCTCCTCAGGCTGCAGAGGTGGCAAGGCGGAGACCATGCCTCCAGGGCAACCCTTCCAGCGTGGTGGCCGCTGAGACCCCGCTGGCTGGCCACCCCCCAGAGAGACAACTTGCCCCCACCAAAGCCAGGCTCAGAGCCGGCCTTCTTCTAACACCAGACAGAACAGGAGCGCCTCAGTCCCAGGGGGCGCTGAAACAGAGCTGCCTCTGGGATCCCCTCAACCTCACCTCCCTGCTCCGAGAGGCCAGACTTGGGATGCCATTGATCCCAGAAGCACTGTACGCCATGGCGGTTCAGCCTAGACTGGCTTGGGAAACATGAAAGCCCGCCATCCCCTCCACAGGGCTTGGCCACCACACGAGCATGAGGCTGGGGGAGCCAAGATACGGGCTGGGTGACAGAAGAACACTGGGTGTAGCACTTGCAATGGGGCCTGACAGG